GTTGAAGTTTTCTATACATTTTAGAGATGAGTCCCTGGGACGCTATGTCACTGCCAAAATTGTCTTTCACAATCGATGGGTTCTCTTTGCTCTAAGATGCTTCCCTCTTACAGATCGCAGCGGACCATAAGGAGCAGTGAGATGCCTGTCCAAGCACGACTGCAGATGTGCTCAGCTACCTAAGCCTCACGATGAAGCACTCGCGTGTTCAATGCTCATCTTAGTGAAACCATTGAACCATGCAGCTGTGTGAAAAAACGTTATTTTAAAAATACCTAGAAATCCGGGCTCCACAACATAGATGGTGCAATTTGGAAGTCCAGACACAGATTTCATATGGATATCTTGATTTCTGCTTAAGGAAACTATGTGAGTTGGCTGAAAAGATAAAAATGGACTACTCACGAAGAAATAACTTTGGAAAGCAAGAGCTTACGTGGGTACAGTCCCGAGACATGTCTGAGAGACTCTTTTCATCATGGGGGCCACAAAAGCATTCATGAATTTCAAATTTGAGAACGATGGGGAAAGGTGGGGTGGGGGTGGCGACCAGAGTCGGTGTTTTTAAGATTCGTTTGGCTGCAGATACTTTTCCCCCCAGGGGAATTCTCACTTGAGTGCCCACTATCAGACGCAGAACCAAATGGTGCCCCTCTGAGGTAATGGCTCCCCTGGCTGAAGGATGAGCATTGGCCACACGCCTGGAGCTCTGCAGTGTAGAAAACAGCCGCGGATTGTTCTGTTATCTGCAGCCAACCTTTAATGTCAACCGGGTTCCTCTTGGCCACCACAGATGCTTCTCGCTTGCTTATACCTCCTATGACCCGCTTCTGTTAAATTCTAGCAGACGCACAAATGTCTTCGAAGACCAGTCTATACAAATCTAAGGGGGGTATGCTGTTGTTGGGTGCCACTGCGTGGGTTCCAACTCACAGCAGTCTCCCGCGGCAGAGTAGAATTGCCATCAGCGTTTTCCTGGCAGCCATCCTTATGGCACTGAGTGCCAGGCCTTTCTCTCTCCGCGCCACTGGTTGAATCCCAAAGGACAACCTTTCGGTGAGCAGCAGCCGAGTGCTTAACTCTTGTGTCACCAGGGCTCCTCAGTTAGAAATCCATTTCCCTTGTAAAAAAATAACAATACACTGCATCCAAGATCTAAAATCTCATTAATTAAAAATAACCAACTTAGAAGTTGTATTAATTCAGTCGTGGGCTAGGCTAAAATTTACCACTGCCTCATCTGTAGTCATAGTGAAAGCAAGTACTATTTCATCTACTTAGCGCATCAGATTTACAGAGCTGCTTCGGGCACACACAGTGAGCTATCCAGATACATAGACTTGGTATGCTCAGTAGAGATGACTTCCATCTGGCCACTGAATCACATCTTCTAAAGACTGCACGGGCAGCTTGGTGTCAGTCTCGGCTTGGTTCTAATATGGACTCCTAAAACCTCAGCGCTAGATGGACATTCCGAGCACCACCCCCTTCTTTCTTTCTACCGGTGAGGAAACAGATCTGGGACAGGTCGCTCGCTCATTCCTCCTTCATCAGAGTAAGACCTCTTCCCACCGGGGTCGTCTTTCCACTTGGGATCTCAATCTTGTTTCCTCCTGCCTTTCAGCAAACCTGCCCCATCTACTCACTAACTCTCTTTTTCTCACGTGACTTGGCTACCTATGTTTAACTTACAGGCATGCTTACATTTCTCTGGTCTTAAAAATGTCCTCCTTCTGCATTTTTAAAAACTTCTACCGTGCTTTTTCTCCTTCTTTTCATAGCCAAGTTGTTTATATTGGGGGGGGGGGGGAAGTGACCCAAGACCTCCTGGTTATTACAGCCCAAAGGCCCTTCCGGCCCTTTTTCTTCTTTGACATCTCTACCTTATGGTCCTCATTGAACGTGCTCCCCTGGACACTCCTCACATTGTTGCTAAGGTCAGTGGTGGAGGGCCCCATAAGTCGGTAAGCCCATGCTTACTTTGCTTAGTGGGTAATCTGCCCCTGATCAAACCCCTCTTCTGCTTTCTGCTTTTGAAAACATTCTTTTCTGGGCTCCTTTAGAATTTTCCTTCTTCCACCTGCAGCTGACCTTACACAGCTGTTTGGGGCTCTCTTCAATCACTCTATATACTCTCCCTAGTTGATTTTTGTCTATCGCTAACCCCTACCCCTAAGCTGGTAACTTTCAAATATCACTATCATCTGGAATCTTTTTCCTTCCAGTGCACAGTGAAGAATTCTGCTTGGATGTCTGTCCTACAGGTACTGCCTGTACCTGTAAGAAACCACACTCATGGTCTTTTCCCTTAAGCGTGTCCCTTCTCTTATACTGCCCACCTCCGGGGACACGACCCCCAGACCCCCTATGCCAGATGCTGGGCCAAACTGGGTCATCATCATTCATGCCATCAAGACCAGTGTAATGTATTTTAGTATTTGCGACCTTGGAAGAAATAAGAGTAGGAACTGAGACTATGGGAACAAAATAATCTGAGTCTGCCTGGGGCATTCAGAGGAGCATGTGAGACGTAGCTGTGATTAAATGACTACTGAGGGACTAAAGTGGTTTATTTTGTTGGTACAGTGAGCCTGTAAGAGCTGGAACGTGGTGGGACTACAAAATCGTGTCGGCTTTCCGCCTTCGACAGGTTACAGTTTTACTACTTTATCACTATTAGTGAAAAATAATTTCCTTTTCATTCTCTGACGGGTTTCTTGGGATGTGCTGTGTGATTGTATTTGTTGGCAAATATCTTAAAATGACTGCAGCACCTTGAACAGAATGACCCTAAACCGCTAGCTGGTTGCTCGATGCTCAGCTGCCAACTGTAGGGTTGGCGGTTCAAACATCCAGCACTTCACAGAAGAACGACCCGAAGGCTTCCTGCTATAACGATGGCAGTCATGAAAACCTACCCTCGGGGGAAGTTCCATACTCTGTGCATGGATTCTGAAGACAAAGAGTCTTCAAAACGGACTCAGAGGCATCTAACAATAGGATTCCACAAGAAATTCCTTGCACGCCCAATGGAATCTTATCAGAGTGAGCTGGGCAGGCCCTGTATGATCATATGACTCCCTCCATTCTGCTCCGACCACATTCCTGATACACTGCACTGCAGCCTCCACGTCTCCCTTGCTGTCCAGTGTCCTGCCAAACATGCTCCTGCTGCAGAACAACCTTGCTGTCCCCCTTCCTGGAGCCCTTCCACCCACAGAGCGAGCTGCCTGGCTCCTGGCTCTGGGGAGCCTTATCAGAGAGAACTTCGCTGACCGCCCTGAACGATGCTGAATATAGAAATGGAAAATTGCATGTGTTTGTTGACTACGAATATTCAAAAAATAGGAAAGATTTCCAAATGAAACACTGAAAATGGATTCCAAATCATGTTTCCACTGTCTAGGAATTCAAGTCTTCGTTGCTTCGTTTTCAACGTCTATAACGGAGCCCTGTGTTCTGTCTCTCTTTCTCTGTTCAGTTCTTTGAGCGCAGTTTAGTGCATTTGACCTTAATGGAGCAACTATTGACTGAGCATCTGGGGCAGACAGTACCATCTTTTCTCAGTTTTTCAGGTGAAAACAGGAATGAAT